CCTGCCACAGGGACCTTCGGTGGAGGCCACTATGGGGCCACGAGACGCTATACTGGGCGCAGGAACCGCATGCGAACTGCGCCACTGGGACCTGTGGTGGAGGTCACTATGGGGCCACGGATCGCTGCACTGGGCGCAGGAACCGCATGCGAACTGCGCCACTGGGACCTTCGGTGGAGGTCACTATGGGGCCACGAAACGCTGCAATGAGCGCAGGAAGCGCATGCGAACTGCGCCACTGGGACCTTCGATGAAGCTCCCTTTGTGGCCACGGAACGCTGCACTGGGCACAAGAACCGCATGCGAGTTCCGCCACTGTGACCTTCGGTGGAGCTCCCTTTTGAGCCACGAAACGCTGTGCTGGCTGCGCGCAGGAACCGCATGCGAACTGCGCCACTGCGATCTCCGGAGGAGCTCCCTATGGAGCCACGAAATGCGTACTGGGCGCAGGAGCCGCATGCGAACTGCGCCACTGGGACCGTTGGTGGAGCTCCCCATTTGGCCAAGAAACGCTGCACTGGGCACAAGAGCCGCATGCGAGTTCCGCCACTGTGACCTTCGGTGGAGCTCCCTTTTGAGCCACGAAACGCTGTGCTGGCTGCGCGCAGGAACCGCATGCGAACTGCGCCACTGCGATCTCCGGAGGAGCTCCCTATGGAGCCACGAAATGCGTACTGGGCGCAGGAGCCGCATGCGAACTGCGCCACTGGGACCTTTGGTGGAGCTCCCCATTTGGCCAAGAAACGCTGTACTGGGCGCAGGAACCGCATGCGTACTGCGCCAGTGGGACCTTCAGTGGAGCTCCACATGGAGCTACGAAACGCTGCAGTGGGCGCAGGAACCGCATGCGTACTGCGCCACTGGGACCTTCGGTGGAGGTCACTATGGGGCCACGGAACGCTGCACTGAGCGCAGGAAGCGCATGCGTACTGCGCCACTGGGACCTTCAGTGGAGCTCCCGCTGGGGCCACGGATCGCTGCACTGGGCGCAGGAATCGCATGCGAACTGCGCCACTGAGACCTTCAGTGGAGCTCCCTCTGGGGCCACGGATCGCTGCACTGGGCGCAGGAATCGCATGCGAACTGCGCCACTGAGACCTTCGGTGGAGCTCCCCCTGGTTCCACGAAACGCTGTACTGGGCGCAGGAACCGCATGCGAACTGAGCCACGTGGACCTTCGGTGGAGCTTCCTATGGAGCCACGCTGTACTGAGCCTCCTGCTCATGTCCTTCCCCTCTTCTCATCATTTCTCTCCTAATAGGATAGCGGTTAGTTAGGAGCGCCGAGGACGGTGTGAGGAAGGCGACTGACAAGTCGAGCACTCTTCGTATGTACTACTCAGAGATAGAATTATCCTCCTCCTCCTCCTCCTGTTTCTCCTCCCCCTCGTCGTACTCCTCCTCCCCTTCCTCCTTGTCCTCCTCCTTCTCCTCCTCCGCCTCCTCCACTCCGTTTCCTTATGAATAGCTCCTCCCTGTCGCACCCCAAGGCGGATCGAAAGGGCGGGCCGGGCGTGTCGCCTGAAACGTCCGCACCATTATGGTCCTGCAACTTAAATTCGCAAGAGCTTCACGGATGGAGGGCGGCCCGTTTTCAAAATGTGGTTCTCGCCTTCGCGCCAAACACATTCGCCGTAAAAAAAATGCAAGAGTTTGACGGATCTAGGGCGTTCCATGTTCAACATGTGGCTCTCGCCTCAGCGCCGCGCTCATTCGTTTTAAAGCTTGAACGAGCTTCGCAGGTGGAGGGCGGACCGTTTTCAAAATGTAGTTCTGGCCTTAGCGCCGCGCGCTCTCGTCTCAAAAGCTTGCAACATTTTGACGGATGGAGGGCGGCTTCGTTTCAAAATGTGGCTCTCGCTTTAGCGCCGCGCACATTCGTCTTGAGAGATTGCATCACTTTCAAAGATAATCATCGCTGATGTGCTAGACATGGCTTTTGGCAGGATGTCGGAATGCCAGGACGCAACAGTCACTCATCCGCGGCGTTGAACTTCCAGACACGGTGCTTTATCACCAGTCAGGACCGTCAAGATATGCAACAGTAACGGTGATTCGCGGCGCTACTGTCCCAGGAATGGCGTTGTGGCACAATTCTGAATTTTCAAGCGGTTGTCTTCCAACAGGGCAATTCCATCGGTGAAAATAAATCCGTGTACGGAGCTGTAAAGAGTGGACTTGGAGTGAGGGTATGTTGTAACATCGTTGATAAGTTTTGTGCTTACACTGGTCCTCCTCCTCCTCCTCCTCCTCCTCCTCCTCCTCCTCCTCCTGCTCCTCCTCCTCCTCCTCCAACTCCAAGGCCTCCTCCTCCTCCTCCTCCTGCCCCCGGGCGGGTAGCCGGTTGGTGTGGGCGGCACCTCCCGGCGTCCGGGGGAACTGAAACCTGCTTAGTCGTGGCCTGTATGGGGGCTGCGCCACTGCTGCCGTGGGTGGGTGAGGGGTTCGGCAGTGGGGGCACCGACCCCGGTCTTCGGGCCTAAACGGTAAACCCGTTTCGGCTACGGCTGGTTCGGGTCCCCTCCACTGTCTTGGCCCGGCGACTCCCCGGTCGCGCCAGGGTGTGGAGGGGGGATCTGGTTTCGGCCAGGCTCATGGGGAGTCCTGCTATGTCCCCCTTGGGCAAGGGGACTGGGGGAGCAGGCCAGGGCAACCGCCCCGAGACTCGCACCAGGTGCCCAGCCTGGTGGCGAGGGGTGTCCGGTGTCCCCAGCCAGGGCCTGGAGTGCCTGGCCGGATGGCAGGGGGGCCCCTCCTCTCGGGGGGGGTCGGTCCTGGAGGCGTTGGACGTGTTCGTGCGCCTCTGAGTCACACTCCCCTCCTAGGCCGTTCGAGGTTTGGAGCGACCGAGGTGCACTAGGTCACTCCCAACACACTGCAGTGCCCAGGCAGTGTAGTTTTGTTGAATCACTACGTGATGGCGGAAATCCTGGAAATCCTCCTCCTCCTCCTCCTCCTGCTCCTCCTCCTCCTCCAATTCCAACTCCAAGGCCTCCTCCTCCTCCTCCTCCTCCTCCTCCTCCTCCTCCTCCTCCTCCTCCTCCTCCTCCTCCGCCTTCTCCTCCTCCTCCTCCTCCTCCTCCTCCTCCTCCTCCTCCTCCTCCTCCTCCTCATCCTCCTCCTCCTTCTCCTCCTCCTGCTCCTCTGGTCCCCTCCTCACTCCTGGTCCCCATTCCTCATCCTGCTTCTCCAACTGCTCCTCCTGCCCCTTTTCCGCCCTCTCAATCCCCATTCCTCCCCCACCACTCCAACTTGTCGCAGTTTTCTCCCTCCTCGCGCATGCATCATCGCCGTCCCTCGCGCATCGGCCAGAGGTCCCTGGTGCAGGCGTTTGGTTATCGCTTTCCCCTCGTGTCGTATTCGTTCCGCCTTTGCTGCAAAATTGAATCAAAACGAAACCAGTCCACGAGATCGCGAAAACAACTTTTAGGTTCAGCCCTGGATTCCTCAGCACCCAGGCGGGGGCGACGGCCCATTTGGCGGTACCAGCGACTAACGCTTCCTCCCTCCTGTCAGAAGCGCCCTCCTGTGATGTTCCCGTCCAGCGGCACGAGCTGCAAGCGGCCGGTGCCCAGCGTCAGGTGCGGCTCTGGGGGGTCGGCCTCCCACAGCGAGGCCTGCCCCGCGGCCAAGTTCCCTCTCATCCTCCTCCTCCTCCTCCTCCTCCTCCTCCTCCTCCTCCTCCTCCTCGTCCTCCTCCTCCTCCTCCTCCTCTCCTCCTCGTCCTCCTCCTCCTCCTCCTCCTCCTTGTCCTCCTCTCCTCCTCCTCCTTCTCCTCCCCTCCTCCTCCTCCTCCTCCTCCTCCTCCGCCTCCTCCTCCTCCTCCTCCTCCTCCTCCTCCTCCTCCTCCTCCTCCACGTCCTCCTCCTCCAGCAGCAGCAGCGGGGAGGAAGGAGGGAAGCGGAAGGAAGACGGGGAGGGAAGGATGAGAAGGGAGGGTCCGGTTACCACAGCGAGACCTACGCCGCGGCCCCCCTCCTCTTCAGGCGGAGCAGCAGCAGCGGCAGGGAGGGGAAGGGGTAGGGCGGGGGAATGGGAGAGAGTGAGAGGAGGGAAAAAATGAGGGAGGGAGAGGAGGAAGGGAAAGAGCATCCGGAGGAGGATGGAGTCACAGTCCTTTTGCGGAGCTGCTGGGAGGCGTGCTACCCAAGCTCGCTGTCAAGGTCCAGACGTCTCCTGCTGCCATGAAAGCGGTTATGCCACATTCCTCAGGCTGCCAGGTCTCAGCCAGCATTGTGAGGATTGATTTTGTTTCTGGGCAAATGAAAGATCATCGTTTCCGAATGCGCGCGACACGACGACGCAGGCGCGCGCGGGCACGCGAGCGAAGGCGCGTGCGTCGCCGCGGGGAAGACCTGCACGCACCCCCCCCCCTTGGCGCAAACGCGCGCTACTGGCCCTGGAAACGACCGGAAAGGCTCGGGGCTGGGCGCCCCGCCCGGCCGCCCCAGCGCGAAGAGTTGCCCGCGCGGCAAGGACAGCCCCGACCAGCGGTTGCGCGGCGACGGGCGGCAACGGCCAGCGCCAGGCGGAAGCGGCGACGCGCCCGAGAAGATTTCCGCGACACCCCCAAAAAGCTCCCTCAAACAAAACTTCGCCGCGCGCGTTGCTGACGAGGAAACCTGCCCCGCAGCGCAGCCGGAACTCGGGGCCCAAACTCGGCCGCCCCGTCGCCGCGCGACGCGCGTAGGAACGTCGCGCGGCGCGCGAGAGGGGGGCAAGCAAATGACTGCGAACAGGTCGTTTTCGCTGCCGTTGCGGGGCCTGCCCGCGGGCGAAAAAATACGCCGCGGCAAACGGCCACTCGGCTGCTGGAGGCCCGCGGGCCCCGAGCAAACCTGCAAACCCGCCTTCGCGGCGCCAGGCAAACTGGCGCGTTCGCTGTCGGGGTTTCGGGGATCGCGCGCGCAAACAAGCCCGCCCCCGGGGCGCCAGGCGAGCCGGCGCGCCCGCCGCCGAGGCAGTGGACGAACAGACGACACATTGCATCCTGATGCAGATCAATTTGCGACACGCGAGCAGCATCCGACGCCATGGGCGCACATGGCTCTGCAAACGTCGCAGCAATGTCAAGTCGCATGCGCCCGTCGCCTCTTGGCATGGTTCGGATGCTTCAACTGGGCGAAACGACTCCAGTCGCACGCCGCGCGGGCGGTCTCGGACCGACGCCTGCCTTCCGAAAGCTCTCCCGCGGGGCACAGTGCGCCCGGGGGGGGCCATCCGCGGCGCGCCCGAAGGCTTCCCCCAAAAAGGGCTTTGCCGCGCCACGCGCACGTCGAAATGTCGCGGGAACAATGCGCGGGAAAGAGAGGGGGGGGGATGAGGCGAAGGAGAAGTAAGACCCACGTGCGTTCGCGGGTTCTCATTCGAGACACTGGACACTAAGAAGCCTTGGCCAGCGTTCCTCAGACGCGTCGCGGACAGAGGCCGCGCTGAAGGGCTTCCCCTGCGCGCCCACTGCGGCGCCGAGAAAATGCCGCGCCTTCCACTCCCTGCAAGTGCGTCGCGGATGGACGCCGCGCTGAGGGACCGCCCACTGCGCAACCCCTGCGATCTCGACAATGTGCCACTGCCGCGCCCTGCGAGCGCGTCGCGAGTAGTGGCCGCGCTGAGGCCGCCCTCTGCGCGCCCCCTGCGGCGCCGAGGAAATGCCATTCCTGCTGCGCCCTGCTGTGCACTCGGGGACCACCCGCTGCGCGCCCCCTCCGGCGTCGAGAAAGCGCGGCGTCTGCCGCGCCTTGCAAGCGCGCCGCGGATGGAAGCCGCGAAGAAGGAACCAGCCTCTGCGCCCCTTGGGCGTCGACAGAGCACCGCTCCCGCCGTGCCCTGCGAGCGCGTCGCACACAGTGGCCTCGCCGAGGGGCCGCCCTCTGCGCGCCCCCTGCGGCGTCGAGACAGCGCCACTCCTGCCGCACCCTGCGAGCGCGTCGCAGATAAAGGCCGCGCCGAGGAACCGCCCGCTGCGCGCCCCCATACAGCGTCGAGGAAGCGCCGCGCCTGCTGTGCCCTGCGAGCGCGCCACCCATAAGGGGGCCGCGCTGAGGGGCCACCATTTGCGCGCCACTTGCGGCGTCGAAGAAGCCCAGGGAAGACCCGAGGAAGACCGCAGGAGGCCCCAGAACGCCCCAGAGAAGCCCCAAGAGGCCCCCAAGACGCCTCGAAAACGCCCCAAGAGAGCCCCCCAAAAGCCCCTGGGGGGGCGACCGCGAGATCCATGCGCACGCCTCAAAGGTCCTCGCCCCGCAACCCAGACGCGGCGGCGGATGGGCCGAAGGCCATGGTTAATGGCAGGTCATGTACACGATCGCAGATACTGACACGGTCACGATCGCATATTTCACGCGCGCACCAACACCCGAAAAACTACCATCTGCGAGCGAATGCCTCTACTCAACTGCCCGCCTTCTTCACCGATAACATGCCCATTGCCTTCAAGACCGCGCTGGGGCGGCCCGTCTTGGGCCGCTGCTTCGCGCCGCTGCCCCCGGCACCCTCGGCGGTCTCCCCCTCGAGGGAAAGCGCGCTGCCGCAAGGGCCCCATCTCCGAAGGCGGCCGCCCCTCGCGCGGTCGGCGCGCCCATCTCCGAAGACGGCCGCCCCCTTGCCTGGCTGCGCTAACGCAGGGCGCCCGGGCGCCCGGCGCGCACTAAATCGACCCGCGGCCGAGGGCGAGGGGAGGGGTCGGGACGGGCCCAGAATGTCAATGCGAATCACGACGTGGATTCCGACGCAGATTTCTGGCGGCGTTGCCGGGGCGGCGAAGTGCGCGGGGGTCGTCCACCAAACAACAAAAAAACGACCTCGAAATCTCACTCGAAATGCTCTCCGAAATTCACACATGGAGCCGCGTCGACATCCGGCATCGAAATGCACCTCGAAATCCACACGTGAAATCCACCTGAGAATTCACCAAATCCGGGAGGCCTCCCGTCAGGAACTGGCGGTTTTCGATACGCGGTTTTAACGCACGTTGGCAGCCTTGTCAAGAAGCAGGGCTCGCAAGGCACCGCCGCCACCATTTCGGCACTCCTCCTTCTCCTCCTCCAACTATACTCCTCCTCCTCCTCCTCCGATTCCTCCCCATCCCAAGTTCTCGTTCTGGCCGACACTTCCTCACTGTGCTGATGTCCATGTTCCTGCTTCTGTCGCTCTTCGTCCCAACTCCTCCACCTCCTCCTCCTCCTCCTCCTCCTCCTTCTCCTCCTCTTCCCTCCTCTTCCCTCCTCTTCCCTACTTGAAGATATTCCTGGCTGATCCTCCCTTCTTCCCCTCTTCCTTCTGCTCCTCCGACTCCTCCGACTCCGACTGCTCCGCATTCTCCTCCTCCTCCTCCTCCTCCTCCTCCTCCTCCTCCTCATCATCATCATCATCATCATCATCATCATCAGCATCATCATCATCATCATCATCTCTCATCATCAGCTCATCAGTCATCATCATCATCATCATCATCATCATCATCATCATCATCTCATCATCATCATAATCATCATCATCTCGTCATCATCATCATCATCATCATCATCATCATCACCACACCCACCACCACCACCCCAGCGAGCAGCAGCAAGCACAGCAGCATCATCATCCATCATCATGCATCATCATCATCATCTCATCATCATCATCATCGTCATCATCATCATAATCATCATCATCGTCAGCAGCAGCATCATCATCATGATCAGCATCATCAGCATCATCATCATCATCACCATCATCATCATCATCATCATCATCAGCATCAGCATCAAAGCATCATCATAACATCACCCATCATCATCATCATCATCATCATCATCATCATCATCATCATCGTCATCATCATCATAATCATCATCATCGTCAGCAGCAGCATCATCATCATGATCAGCATCATCAGCATCATCATCATCATCACCATCATCATCATCATCATTAGCACCATCATCAGCATCAGCATTAGCAACAGCATCAGCACCATCATAAGCATCACAACCATCATCAGCATCATCATCACCACCATCATCATCAACAACGTCATCACCAACTGCATCATCATCACCAACAACAATAACACCACCAACATCAGCATCGTCATCATCATCAACAACGTAGTCGTCATCCTCATCCTACTCGTCCTGCTCCTCATCTTCATAATCAGCATCATAATCATCACCACCACCAACATCATCATCATCATCACCGTAGTCGTCGTCGCCAATATCAGCACCATCAGCATCACAGTCATCATCATCATCATCATCATCATCATCATCATCGTCTTCGTCATGACCACCATCAGCAGTAAACTTATCATCATCCTCATCATCAGCACCATTATCAGTATCATCATCATCAGCCTCGTCAACATCATCAGCATCAGCATCGTCAGCATAATCACCATCAGCATCCTTCGCATCATCATCAGCAGCAGTGTCACAATCATCGTCATCATGGCCGCCGGTAAGGTCATCAGCATCATCAACACCTTTCATCATGATCACCTGCAGCATCATCATCACAAGCATAATCACCATCGTCTTCATCATCATCATCATCATCGTCATCATCGTTATCGCCAGCACCATAACCATCATCATCAGATTCATCAGAAAACGCCACCATCATCATCATCAGCATCATCATTGTTATCATCAGTATACCCATCATCATCATCATCATCATCATCATCAGCCCCATCAGCCCCATCAGCCTCGTCATCATGATCATCATCATCGTCAGCATCATCATGGTCATCATCATCCTCGTCATCATCAGCATTATCACAAGCATCGTCATCATCGTCGCCGTCGTCATCAGCACCATTCACATAATCAATCATCATCATCAGAATCAGCATCACCGTCATCATCATCATGATCATCAGTATCATCATCATCATCATCATCATCATCATCATCATCATCATCATCATCATCGCAATCATCATCACCATCATCAGCATCATCACCAGCACCATCATCATCATCAACATCATCATCATCAACATCATCAGTATCAACATCATCGTCACCACCAACATCACCATCATGATCGTCATCATCCTCATCGTTATCATCGTAATCAGAATCATAATCAACATCATCAGCATCATCATAATCATAGTGAACGTCATCATCAGCAGTATCAGCATCATCCTCGTTATCGCCATCGTCACCGTCATCATCATCATCATCATGAGATGTATATCCATGCTCATCTGCATATGTATCTTCATCTGCATCGTCATCTACAGCTTCATCTTCATCATCCTTGTTTTCCTCGTCCTCCATCCTCACTCACCCAAATACCCCGCACGATCATTTTCCCCATCCTCGTCCTTGAAATCGACCTTCCCGTCCTCCTCCTCCTCCTCCCTCGCTTCCTCCTTCTTAGCGCACTCCCCCGATCTGGCCATCCCTCCATCCCGCCATCACTCCTCCTCATCTCCGTTGTCCTCATCCTGAGTCCCCCCCTTCCCACCGACCACAGGCGTCACCATCACCACCATCTTATCTTCTTCAGCAGCATCATCACCATCGTCATCATCAGCATCGCCGTCATCACCACCACCACCACCACCTCCTCCTGATCCGCGTGATCCTCTTCCTTCTCGCCGTCGACATCGGTATCGAAATTGTCAGTTTCGCGACAAGCATCAGATCATCAGCAGCATCAGCATCAGCAACGTCAGCAGCATCATCATCATGATCAGTATCATCATCATCATCATCATCATCATCATCATCATCATCATCGTCATCATCATCATCATCATCGTCATTATCATCATCATCATCATCATCATCATCATCGTCATCATCATCATCATCATCATCATCATCATCATCATCATCGCCGCCAGCAGCATCATCACCAACAACATCATCATAACAATCACCATCAGCATCAGCATCATCATCAGCATCAGCATCATCATCATAATCGTCAGCATCGTCATCAGCAGCATCCGCATAAGCATCAGCATCACCATCAGCACCATCACAATCAGAATCATCAGCATCAGCACAGCCATCGTCAGCCTCAACAGCGTCATCATGATCGTCAGCGTCACCAGCAGCATCACCAGCGTTCATCAGCAATCGCATTGTCGTTAAACTCACCCGTAGACAAATCATATACATCACACTCATCAGCATGACCGTCATCATCATCAGCATCAGCATCATCAACTTCATCATTACCATCATCAGTATCATCATCATCAGCAGCATCATCATCATCAGCAGCAGCGCCACTAGCATCGGATTCATCATCATCATCATCATCAGCATCATCATCCGCATCAGCTTAAACACCATCATCATCATCATCAGCATCACCATCATCAGCATCATCATCACCATCGCCATCACCGTCGCCATCATCATCATCATCATCATCATCATCATCACCATCAGCATCATCGGCAGCAACGACATCATCAACATCATCAATATCATCATCAATATGATCATCCGCGTTGCAAAAGCAGCGACAGTATCGGTTTCCTCATCATCTGCAACATCATCATCATCACTATAAGCATCGAAAGCATGATCAGCATCTTGATCAACATCATCAGCATCATCGTCATCGTCGCCTTCATCATCAGCATCAGCACCATCATCATCAGCCACCACCCCTCATCAGCGGAGGCGGCAGCAGCACTGGAACAATCCACATCAAAATAGGCAGATTGTCGTTGCCGTCGACATCACCACCGTTACCAGCTTAGCAAACATCGTCATCGCTATCGCCACTGGCGTCATCCAGCTCCAGCAACATCATCAGCCGTACCAGCATCAGCATCATCATCTCCACCACCATCATCAGCAGCAGCGGCATCATCATCATCATCGCTATCATCATCCCGTTCACCAGCATGATCAGCATCGAATCATCACAATGGCCTTGCTGGTCAGCAACTTCATCAGCATCGCCACCATCATCATCACATCCAGCATAGTCCACTTCCTGGTACTCATCAGCATCATCATCATCATCATCATCATCATCATCATCAGCATCATCATCATCATCATCATCATCATCATCATCATCATCATCATCATCATCATACTCAGCATCATCAGTATTATCATCATCCACATCACCATCCTCATCAGCATCAGCATCAGCATCTGCATCATCAGCAGCAACATCATCATCAACATCATCATCACCATCGCCATCACCGTCACAATCATCATCAGCACCACCATCAGCAGCATCGGCAGCAACAACATCATCAACATCATCAGCATCATCATCGGTATGATCACCCGCGTTGCAACAGCAGCGACAGTATCGTGTTCTTCATCATCTGCAACATCATCATCATCATCATCATCATCATCATCATCATCATCATCATCATCATCATCATCATCATCATCATCATCATCATATTCACCAGCATCATCATCATCATCATCATCATCATCATCACCGTAAGCATCGTAAGCATGATCAGCATCTTCATCAACATCATCAGCAGCATCATCGTCATCCTCACCTTCATCATCATCATCATCATCATCATCATCATCATCATCATCAGCGTCATCATCATCAGCCACCGCCCCTCATCAGAGGCGGCGGCATCAGCACTGGAACAATCCACATCAAAATAGTCAGATTGCCGTTGCCGTCGACATCACCACCGTTACCAGATTAGCAAACATCGTCATCGCTATCGCCACTGGCTTCATCCATCTCCATCAACATCATCAGCCGTACCAGCATCAGCATCATCATCTCCACCACCATCATCAGCAGCAGCGGCATCATCATCGCTATCATCATCCCGTTCACCAGCATGATCAGCATCGAATAACACAATGACCTTGCTGCTCGGCAACTTCATCAGCATCGCCACCATCATCATCACAACCAGCATAGTTCCCTCTCTCGTACTCATCATCATCATCATAATCATCATCATCATCAGTAGCAGCATCATCATCATCATCATCATCATCATCATCATCATCATCATCATCATCAGCATCACCATTCTCATCAGCATCAGCATCAGCATCAGCATCAGCATCAGCATCTGCATCATCAGCAGCAGCATCATTAGCATCATAAGCAGCATCAGCATCATTATCATCACCACCACCATCATCATCATAACCAAAAACGGACCTCTTTAACAAAGGGGGCGGGTGAGCGGAGGAAAGACGAGGGAAGGAGAGGATCTGAAGGGGAGAAGGAGGAGGAGCGGAAATGGAGGATGAGAAGGAGGGGGAGGAGGACGACGACGACGACTGCGACGACGAGACAGAAGATGGGCACAAGAGAAGAAGCGGGCAATGAGGGCGCAGGAGCCGAGGCGCAACGTCAACAGCCTTGGCGTCCTTCTTCGCGTTCTCGATGTCGTTGCCGTGGTGGAACCACGTGTCCAGAGCCTGGCCGATTCCGCGGGCGGGTGAAGGGGGAGAATGGGGGCTGCTCCGCCCCCCCTGGTCCTCATGCTTCGCCTCCCCCTCCATTGCGAGTACGCATCGCCCTGAGGCCACAGCCCCTTCCAAGTCTCGCTTCAAACAGGTAGGCACCAGGGAGCACTGGGAGCCTCCGCAGAAGTCGCGGGGCAAGCATGTCAAGCCCTCGCAGGGTGCAGTTTCGAGCTCTGGGAGGGAAGTTGGGCCCTGTTGAGTTGACGCACATCTCATTCAGAGGACCACTGTGTCAGCACGTTCGCCTCCCCATGATGGGGCAACACCCCATGGGGGCCAGGTTCGATTGGATCAAAAAGGGCACAGGGTTGAGATGGGGGGGAATGGCCGGAGAAAAAGGGGGGTCACTTAGAGGTGGAGCGTCGACCAATTATCCACAATAAGGACCTCCAAGCCCTGTCTGCCCATCACCCCCTGTTGGTCACGTGGCCAGAGTCTCCAATTACCAAACAAGGCCCCCAAAAACCATGGAGACCCCCCGTGCCCTAAGTGACAGCCGTGACGATCCCCTTGTTTATCCCCCTCCTCCTCCTCCTTCTCCTCCTCCTCCTCCTGCTCCTCCTTCTCCTCCTCCTCCTGCTCCTCCTCCCCTTCTCCAACTCCAACTCCAACTCCAACTCCAACTCCTCCTCCTCCTCCTCCTTCTCCTCCTCCTCCTCCTCCTCCTCCTCCTCCTCCTCCTGCTCCTCCCGCCTCCTGCATCAATCCTTCTCGTCCCTCGCATCCGCCCTCCCTCCCGTCTTCCTGTAAGTAGGGAGTGGTAGTGGCTCTTGTGGGTTGAAGCAGGATATGGGGTGGAAGGCGCGAGCATACGAAAGGGGTCCAGGCCAACTGCTGGTTCCGTGTTCCCACTGACTCATTTCACCATACAGCAAGACAGCGTCAGAGTTAAACTGCCGTCAAAGAGCTCTCCTATGGGGCCTCATCACCCTCCGAACCGGACCTGGCCCTGAAACCTGGGCCCTTAGGGCATGTGGCCTGAAAGAGGGGCATTGGGCACGGTGGGAGCCGACTCGGACAGCCTAGCGCCCCCTGGCTGGTAGGTCATGGTGCGGGCAGGCCTTCAGCTGGTGATACCCATTGGCGCCTGATGGGAGCCCAAGCAAACTCCTAGCTAATGTTTACCCAGGTCTACCAGGCATGCCCTCCTCCTCCGCCTCTCCTCCTCCTCTTTCGCCTCCTCCTCCTCCTCCTCCTCCTCCTCCTACTCCTCCTCCTCCTCCTCCTCCTCCTCCTCCTCCTCCTCCTCCTCCTCCTCCTCCTCCTCCTCCTCCTCCTACTCCTCCTGTTTCTCCTCCGCCTCCTCCTTCCATCGTGGTGTGGACGAACTTCCTCTCGGTGTTCGTGCACAAGGCGTCCCTGTTCCAGGTTCACGCCCCGGGCGCGGTCGAGGTGCTGCCTGGTGGCAGGCCCGCCGTACCATTGCTGGCACTTTGCCAGGGCTGGGTGCTGGTGACGACCGTGGCGCCGCTGTACCTCGTCGTGGTTCCGACTCCGCCGAGATGCCCCGTGGTGCCTTCTGGCTTCCCGAGCTGCGGCTCTCGGGACGCCACTGGCCTTGCCGAGGGGGTGCTGTTATGTTTCCCTGCGGGTAGCTCGCGGGACGCAGAGTGGGACATCGAGACGGGCCGCAGTGCTCGGTTCTGCGGTGGTCCTCACCGTCGAGGCAAACGCGCACCTCGCTGGGTTCGGCTTCCACCACTGCTTCCTGGACAAGGTTGGGGGGTCCAGGGCTGGTCAGGTCCAGCCCTGGCCCCCCGCTGACCAGCCTGTCTCCTCCTCCTTCTCCTCCTCCTCCTCATCATCATCATCATCATCATCATCATCAGCAGCAGCAGCATCATCATCATCATCATCATCATCATCATCATCATCATCATCATCATCATCATCATCATCATCATCATCATCATCATCATCATCATCATCATCATCATCATCATCATCATCATCATCATCATCAAGTCATCATCATCATCACATCATCATCAGCATCATCATCCATCACCATCACCATCACCATCACCATCACCATCACCATCTGCATCATCATCAGCATCATCATCATCATCATCATCATCAGCATCATCATCATCATCATCATCATCATCATCATCATCATCATCATCATCATCATCATCATCATCATCATCATCATCATCATCATCATCATCGTCCTCCTCATCATCGTCCTCATCCTGCTCATCCTCGTTATGTTTCCTCGTTCACAGCCATGAATGTGGCACCAAGTTGGCGCCTCAGCTGTTAGCAGGGAGAGGTACGGAGGGAGTAGACATAAGCAACTTGTGGGAGGAAAAACAAGCTAGAAGTTGGAAACTACGTGTTTACCATAGCCTCCATTTCAGGCTCGGGCAAATGCGATCCTGCCTAGCCAACGGGCACACGGACTCGTTCGCTGATGAAGCGCAATACAATCCTCGAATCATCCCTTCCCAAGCAGCCGTACGATATATTCATCCTGCTGCGAGTGGACCACCTCAACACCCTCAGCATCCTCCTCTTCCTCCCCCTCATCGTCATCATGATCAGTATCAGCATCATCAGCAGCATCATCATCAGCAGCATCAGCAGCATCATCAGCATCATCAGCCTCATCAGCATCATCAGCATCATCATCAACATCATCATCATCAGCAGCTTCAGCATCATCATCAGCATCACCATCATCAGCATCATCAACATCATCAGCATCAGCAGCATTATCAACAGCATCAGCAGCATCATCATCAGCATCAGCATCAGCATCAGCATCAGCATCGTCATCATCAGCATTATCATCATCAGCATCACCAGCATCATCCGAATCAGCATCATCATACTCATCATCATTATCATCAGCATCGTCATCACCATCATCATCAGCATCACCAACATAATCACACTAATCATCGACAGCATCAGCATCACCAGCATAAGCATCATCATCGTCGTCATCACCATTACCACTATGACGCATCATCATCCGCATCAGCAGCATCATCATCATCATCCGTATGTCTCATCCTGCTCCCCGTCCCCCTCCCCCTAACCCGCCCCCTCTCCTCCTCCGCATCCTCCTCCGCATTCTCCTGTTCCTCCTCCTCCTCCTCCTCCTGCTCCTCCTGCTCCTCCTCACCATCATCCTCCTCGTCGTCCTCCTCCTCCTCCTCCTTCCTCCTCATTCCTCCTCCTCCCTCTCCTCCTCCGCCTCCTCCTCCGCCTCCGCCTCCTCCTCCTCCTCCTCCTCCTCTTCCTCCTCCTCCTCCTCCTCGCCGTCCCCCGTTTCCTGTTCATGTTCCTCCTCCTCCTCCTCCTCCTCCTCCTCCGCCTCCTCCTCATCCTCTTCCTCCTCCTCCCTCTCCTCCTCCTCCTCCTCCTCCTCCTCCGCCTCCTCCCCTCCTTCCGCCTCCTCAACCTCTCCTCCCTCCTCCTCCTCCTCCTCCTCCGCCTCCTCCTCCTCCTCCCTCCTCCTCCTCCTCCTCCCCTCCTCCTCCTCCCCCTCCTCCTCTTCCTCCTCCTCCTCCTCCTCCCCTCCGCCTCCGCCTCCGCTCCGCCTCCGCCTCCGCCTCCGCCTCCGCCTCCTCCTCCGCCCCCGCCCCCTCCCCCCTCCCCCTCCCCCCTTCCCCCTCCCCTCCTCCATCCCCCATCCCCCATCCCCCATCCCCCTCCCCCCATCCTCCTCGTCCTCCTCCTCCTCCTCCTCCTCCTCCTTCTCCTCCTCCTCCTATTCTTAGTAGTATCATTAGTATTCGGATTCGTCTTAGTGTTCTTATTATTCGTATTAGTCTTATTAGTCTTATTCGTAGTATGTTTGTTGTTATTACTAATCGTATGGTTGGGATTCGTTGTTCTTCTTAGTATTAGTATTATTAATATTATTCTTCGTAGTAGTAGTATCATGAGTCTGCTGAGCACTATAAGGTTTATTATCACTATGATTATTCGTCGTATCATTACTCTTAGTATTAGTATTCGTCTTATTGTTCTTACTAGAATTAGTATTATGATTCGTCGTATTATTCTTATTATTAAGATTATTATTGGTCGCATTCTTCTTGTTATTAATAAGAGTAGTATTGCGTTTACTATTATGAGTAGTATGCTTATTCGTCTTCTGGTTATTACTATTCTTATTATTATTCTTATTATTCCTCCTCCTCCTCCTCCTCCTCATCCTCCTCTTCCTCCTCATCCTCCTCATCCTCCTCGTCTCCTTCTCCTCTTCATCCTCCCGCTCATCCTCCTACTCCTCGCCCATCCTCTTCCTCCTCGCCCATCCTCCCGCTCGCCCATGGTCATTGCCACTCCTTCTCGCCCGCATGCCGTCCGGCTTCTATCATGGCGAGAATCCCTCTGGTGGGCTCCAGTGGCCTTGCCAGTCAGGTTCAGGGCCGCGAAGCGCGGCTCGTCGGCCGCGCCCACGAGGAGGTCGCCCTCCTGCACGGCGGCGACGACTACAGCGGCGACGGCGACGGCGGCGGCGACGACGACAGCGACGAAGGCGACGACGACTACGGCGGTGGCGGCGGTGGCAAGCGATGATCTGGTCGGTCGCGACGGTGCCTGGTGCGGACGGGAGAGATAGAGAAGACGACCTCTTCGGCCTGGTTCATACCGTGGCAAGCAGGCAGGCCACATGCTGCTGCGGCTGCCGATGATGATGGCGATGGTGGTGAAGACGATGACGATGATTCTGGTAATGACGCTAATGGCAATCATGATCATGGTCCTGATTCGGATGCCGCTGCCCGTGCTGCTGCTGCTGCTACTGCTGCTGCTGCTGCTGCTGCTGCTGCTGCTGCTGCTGCTGCTGCTGCTGCTGCTGCTACTCCCTTCCTCCTCCTTCATTCCCACTCGTGCTCTCACCGCTTGCCTCCGTTTGGAGCTACACGCGCTGAAACAAATGTGCTCCCCCTGCTCCCCACAATGATATGATCCTCCCTTGGGAGGTTGGCCGCGGAAGGAAAGCGCATGGACGGAGGGCGGACTGAAGAGAAGGGGGCAGGACTACGAGGATGGAGAAGGAGTGCATGGGGGCAGCAGGAAGCGAAGGGGGCAGGGGAGGACGGTGAGAACGAGGAGGAGGCGATGGAGGATCCTCGTTGGCGCTCCGGCGCCACCACTTCGTCACCATGCGGCCGCCGCGTGCAGCTCCGATGGCCTGATTGCTCAATCCTCTGTCAGTGCAGGTACTGACCGTGCTCGCTTCGCCGACGGTTACAGAAGGAGGCGATGGAGGGCAAAGCGGCAGCACGGTAATCACTGCCTTGGTCTCGATGTCATATTCTGGTGCTCGCAGTAACCACTGCCTTGATCTCGATGCCATATTCTGGTGCTGGCCACCGCTCCTCCTCCTCCTCCTCCACCACCACCTCCTCCTCATATTCCTCCTCTTCCTCCTCCTCCTCCTACTCCTCCTCCTCCTCCTCCGCCTCCTCCTCCTCCTTTTCCTCCCCCGCCTCCTCCTCCTCCTCCGCCTCCTCCTCCTCCTCCTCCTCCTCTCGTCCTTCGCGCCATCCCGATTCCCACCTCCTCTTCTTCCTACTCCTCCTGCTCATCCTCCTCGTCCTCATCCTCCATCCCATTATGATCCTCCACTTGGCACGTGCACTAGCTGACGCTCATAGTTGGGACAAGCACAGCGATATTTTAGCTCAGCCTTGCCTGCTGCATGCCTCATCCTCATCACCCTCCTCCTCCTGTCGATGTTGTCAATCCTGTCAATGCTTACGCAACCATGTCGCTCCAAGAGTCTGGTCGGCACCTCCTACTCCTCCTCCTCGTCCTCCTCATCCTTCTCCTCCTCCTCTTCCTCCTCCTCGTCCCCTTCCTCCTCCTCCTCTTCCTCGTCCTCCTCCTTTTCCTCCTCCTCCTTCCCTCCTTCTCCTCATCCTTCTCCTCATCCTCCGTATGTTTCTTATAAATACTGTTAGTACGATTAGTAATCGTATACATCGTGTCCTTATTATTCGTATTGGCCATATAAGTATTACTCATATTATTAATATAAATATCAGTATCATTTATAGTATGAGTACTAGTAGCATTAATAGTAATGTTGTTGAAAATATTACTGTTATACTTATGTTTAACCGAAGTATCATTAGTAGTAGTATGAGTAGTAGTAGTAGTAGTAGTAGTAGTAGTAGTAGTAGTAGTAGTAGTAAACATAGGTTTGATGTTGTCATTAAGTGTATGACTGTTGTTAGTGCTAGCATACACAGTCGTATTAGTATTATGATTAAAACAAGATTACTGTCAGCATTCGTATCAACATCAACAGCACCATGATTAACATTAGAAACAGCATTATTATTTATAGTAGTAGTAATACTCCTACTATCAGTAGCATTAGCATTAACATCATTATTAGCATGAGAAGTATTACTAAAAGTACTAGTAGTACTTCTAGTAGTAGTAGTAGTAGTAGTAGTAGTAGTAGTAGTAGTAGTAGTAGTAGTAGTATTAGCAGTAGTAGTAGCAGCAGCAGTAGTAGTAGTAGCAGTAGTAGTAGTACACGTATTCCTACTACTGTGTAATAGTATTAGTAACCGTATTAGTAGCATTAAAATTCGTATGCTAGATATAAAAATCAGTCTTATTACGTGTATTACTACTAGTCTCAATATTATTCGCAATTTTCGTCTGAGCATGAGTATTAGCATTATGACTGGTACTAGGTATTGCTTTTGTTACTCCCAATGACACTATTTGTGGTAGCATTCTTACTGGTAGCGTACTGATCCCTAGTATTGGTGTTAAGCTTAATCGTCGTAGTATTAGTTTAGATGCTCGTATTATTCGCCTCTGTAGCATTCTTCTTATTATTGACAGTCGTGATATTAACAATAGTTGTCTTATTCGTCTTAATATGTTATTATTAGTCGTATTATTATTATTCGTATGGTTCGTCCTCCTCCTCCTCTTCCTCTTCCTCCTCCTCCTCCTCCTCCACCTGCTCCTGCTCTCCTCCTCCTCCTTCTCCTCCTCCTCTTCCTCCCCCTCCTCCTCCTCCTCCTCATCCTCTCCCTCCCCCTCCCCCTCCCACTCTCCCTCCTCCTCCTCCCCCCCCCTCCCACTCTCCCTCCTCCTCCTCCTCCACCACTCCCTCTTCTTCTCCTCCTCCTCCTCCTCCTCCTCCTCCTCCTCCTCCTCCTGCTCCTCCTCCTCCTCCTCCGCCTCGTCCTCCTCCTCCTCCTCCATTTCCTTCTCCTAATTGAGGACTTCTCCCTGTCGTACCCCGGGGCTAGATTTTAGGGCGGGCCGGGCGTTTCGCCTGAGATTTCCTCACCAGTTATGACTCTGAAGCTTCGAAATGTGGTTCCCGCCCTAGCGCCGCGGACATTCGTTTAGGAATATCCAGAGCTTCACGGACAAAATGTGGCTCTCGCCTCAGCGCCGCGCACATTCGTTTTTTTAAAAATACGCAAAAGTTTCACGGATTGAAGGTGGCTCCCTTTCAAATGTGGATATCGCCTTAGCGCCGCGCATATGTTTATTACAAAAGTTTCACGGACTCCCGGGATCAACGTACCAGAATTGGTGGTTTCTAAGGATTCAGGATTATGCGGGCGCAACAGTTCTGTTGATTCGCGGTGATAAAATCCCAAGAATGGCGCTCTGGCACGATTCTGGACCGTCAACACGAAGCAGTCAAATTGATACGTGGCGTTGAAATCCCGAGAGCAATGTTTTGGCGCGCTTCAGGATCTTCAAACGGTTGTCTTCCAACGAGGCAGCTCCCTCAATGCAGATGAAGCGTTGTAGAGGCCTACGAAGAGGGAGCGTGGAAGGAGGGTTCATCCCAACATCGTTGATGACTCTTGGGTTTACACTGGCCCTCCTCCTCCTCCTCCTCCTCCTCCTCCTCCTCCTCCTCCTCCTCCTCCTCCTCCTCCTCCTCCTCCTCCTAGGGAGCGCCCGAGCGCGGCCCCGCGCAGCCGTCTTGCCCTCGGCGGGTGCGGCTGGGCCCGCGATGATGGGACGCCCCCAGCGCCGCGAGCGCGTGGAGGTGGTGCAGCCGCTGGCCGAGGCCCCGTGTGCGCCCCCAGGTTGGGAGAGGCGCCCTAGCTCCAGCCAGCGGCGTGCGTGGAGGCGCCTGCGCCTGGCGACATGCCGGCAGGCGGAGTTGGACTTCCACTGGCTGCTGGCAGAGCAGTGGCAGTGGCAGCTTCCGGGAGGCGAAGAGAGAGAAGCGTGCGATAAGTTGGAGGCGAGGATAGAGCCCAACGTGACCAACTACAGCGCTGCAATCAGGACGTGCGAGAAGAAGCAGGCGAAGTTAGAGCCAGGTAGCCACAACCACGACGCTGGGAACTGCGCGTACGATCAGCGGGAGGCGAAACGCGAGCCCGACTCGATCAGCTACAGTGCGGCGGCCAGCACGTGCGAGAAGGCGACGGCGAGGCTGAAGACCGACTTCGTCACCACGGAGTGCGAGAAGGGGAAGGCAAAGCAGAAGCCCGACACCCATATCCACGACCCTGAGACCAGCGAGAGCGATCAGCGGGAGGCGAAGAGCGAGCCCGACACGATCAGCTACAGCACTGGTATCACGGCGTGCGAGACGGGGAAGGCGAAGCAGAAGCCCGACGCCCCTAGCCACGACCTCGAGACCAGCGAGTGCGAGAAGCGGGAGGCGAAGTTGGAGCCACACCTCAATACCCTCAACCCAGGGCTCGGTGTGCGAGGACAGTGGGATGCGAAGAGTGAGCCCGACACGAGCAGCTACAGCGCTGGTGCCACGGCGGGCGAGAGAGGGAAGACGAAGCTGGAGCCCGTCAACCCTCACTGCGGCTTTGGGAGCAGCGAGAGCGAGAAGCGGGAGGTGAAGATAGAGCCCCACATGTGCAGCTACAGCGCAGCAATCAGGGCGTGCGAGAAGAGGCAGGCGAGGCTGGAGCCCAATTCCCCTAGCCCTAGCCACAACAGCGCGTGCGAGAAGTCGGAGGCGAAGGGGGAACCACCCGATTTCTCCAACGCGCTGGAAGTGAAGAGGAGCATGGCGATGTGGCGAGCTAGAGCTCAGATCTCCACGAAGTGGTTGTGCGAGAAGGGAGAGCTGGGCGGCACATGCGAGAAGCGGGAGGCGAAGCTAAAGCCAACTATCTACCCTAGCTACAGACCTGGGAACGGAGCGCGCGAGTCGGAGGCGAGCCACGAAAGGTGGCTGGCGCGAAAATTCGGGCGCAAGCAGGCGACCCGAACCTCCAGAGCGCCGACGATCGAAGAGTGGATATGCGGACCTGGAGGCTTGTGAGAAGGCAGCCCAACGAGCCCAGCTACAGTGCTGAGATCGGGCCGCCGTGTGAGAATGAAAGAAGGGAAGGACGGGCGGTGGCAGCAACCTGCGGGCGCTGCCAGCCCGTGCGAGAAGCGCAGCCGTGGCGGCAGCGCGAGGGCAGGCCTCGGGGGACTCCCCCTCGTCCCCCTGAGGGGGGAGCGCCGAGGCCGCCAGGGGTGCCCGCCGCACCGCGCGACGGGCTGCCAACTCGCAGGGAGCGAGAGGCCAAATCTCTGTAAATCTCCTCCTCCTCCTCCTCCTCCACCTCCTCCTCCTCCTCCTCCTCCTCCTCCTCCTCCTCCCTCCTCCTCCTCCTCCTCCTCCTCCTCCTCCTCCCTCTTCCTCCTCCACCCCCCTCCCCTCCTCCTCCTCCTCCTCCTCCTCTCCTCCTCCTCCTCCTCCTCCCTCCTCCTCCTCCTCCTCCTCCTCTCCTCCTCCTCCTCTCCTCCTCCTCCTCCTCCTCCTCCTCCTCACTCTCCCTCCCATGTCCTCCTCTCATTCCTCCTCCTCCCCTCCTCCTCCTCCGCCTCCTCCTCCTTTTCCTCATCCTCTTCTCCTCTTCCGCCTCTTCCTCGTCCTCCTACTCCTCGTCCTTCCCTCCTCCCCCTCCTCCTCCCCCTCCTCCCTCCTCCTCATCCTGCCGTTTCCTCCTCCTCCTCCTCCTCCTCCTCCTCCTCCTCCTCCTCCTCCTCCGCTGCCGCCGCCGCCGCCCTCCTCCTCCGCTGCCGCCGCCGCTGCCTCCTCCTCATCACCTGCCTCCACCTCTGCCTCCTCCTCCTCTTACTCGACTTATTATTATCCTCCTCCTTCTTCGTATATAGTTGTATGAATAGTATTAGTAGCAGCCGTGGTATTACTAGTGTTTGCATGAATCAGTT